GAAAAACATCAAGACGCAAAACCACAAATTGGAGGTGAAGCTTAGCCGAAAATCGCTTCAGTGATTACAAAGCGCCAATCATACATATATATATATATAGATTATATCGACGTTTATATTTTGATATGTATTTATGAAAGAAATTTGTCGACCCAAACCCTCATATCTGAACTAATCGGTTCTGTGGGGACACTATATGGCGGATTTTCGGTGGCAATGTCGAATTGTAGATACGAATGTTGAATACCATATTTCATACTTTTAGATGCCTTTTGGCGGAATGGGAGCTATACGAATATGTTATAAATCTCCGATCTCGATAAATTTCAATAATCAAAGTTGTACATGAGAGGTATAAAAATAGTGATGAAGATTATAGGAAGGCAATTATCAGGTTAAAGGGGAGAAGAATAGTTTACATATTAACTTATTTAGCCAATAATAGGAACTCGCATTGATTATAGCAGATAATCAATTATTTACATTTCATACCAAAATATCAATTTCAAATGATTTACTTCAAGGACAAAGTCTTCTGTCTGCTTTGCCTACAACAAAGCCAGTAAGCCTAGCAACACACAACAGCTCTCCTTTGTTTAATAATATTGAACACAACTCCAAATAAATTTATGGCATTCCTGTTATTTGAAGGTGAAGTTATAAAGATCTAAATTGCATGAAATGCAATAGAAGCCTAAAGACTGAAGACTGAATGATTTCATCAATTGGACATAGTAAATTGGATATTAACATAATAAGCGCTCATGCACCTGTGTTAGTGCGCAAATATTTTGGACGAAAGGCATAGCATAGCCCGAAGCTTGTCGCATTACAAGTTACAATGCATTATATGAAATGCGCTGCAACGAACGTTTAACATTTGTGCACAATAAATCATTTTGGAAACTAACAATAATTTCGAAAATCTTAAAGCTAACTTTTGTTCCTAGAACAAGTTAATCATTACCACGGTATAGATTAACAAAGTAAGCAAAGTACAATAAATGACGAATATAACTTAGATTTATCATGTGAATGTGTTTATATATATATCATTAGGGAATTTAACAAAGATATATGATAAAGGATAATTTGAAGTAAATTATAATATCATGAAGGACATATGCGGAGCACAACTCCGATGCAGAATCATTGGATGCGACAGAGCCCTTAGTCACAGTTCAAACGAAAGTCATTTCTCTTTGATTGCTTAGGTTAGTTCTGCTGTAACCTTAATGAGTAATTTTTAAGCAGTTTAATACCGAGTCATTGTGAATTGTGCAGCTTCTTACATACCAGGGCGCTTTGCATAGCTCTTAAGGTTTTAGACTGCAGTCTTTGAATTCTATTTAGGCTAGGTTTAGATGCTGAGCTCCAAATTTGGATCCCGTACGTCCAAAATGGCTTTATATTAAGAAGTAAAACTTTGTTTTCTAGACTTAGTTTAGACTTAGAGCATACAATTTAATGCAAGTTCACAAATTTTCAATTAGGTTTGAGTAATATTTTTGTCTATGTGGTTTTCTAGAGGAGTCTTTTATCCAATGTAGCTCCCTGATAGTTAACGAACTCTTTCTGAGGTATTGTATTCCCATTTATAGAAGTTGAAGGACATGTGCCTTTTTTTAGGGTAAATGTTACTTGTGTTAACTTAGACTCAGTGACTTTAATTCTCCAAGTTGTTAGCCACTCTTCTATTACTTTTAAATGTTCTTATAATCTGTAACTAGCTGTCATGGGGTTTGAATGTACACTTAGTATTGGTGTATCATCCGCAAAAGTTTATGTAATGAGTTTTCGTTTTGTGACAGGATCGTTGGTATAAATTAAATATAAGACGGGCTCTAAAGCACTTTCTTGTGGAACACCAGCAAATATTTCACAGGATTCAGTGGTGTAACTTTTTTGCCTTGCCCGAAATTTTCTGCCAGTAAGAAAGTTTTCGAAAACCTCATAAATTTTTACAAGAAGCGTACTTTTCAGCTTGTATAATAGACCATCTTCTCAAAACAACATCCTTATGGTCGGCCTGGTTGGTTCTCCATCCAAACGTTTGGGCTGAAATTTAAAAATATTGTATTACTCATTAAGAACTCTCTCTAACCTCCCATTTTATAGCCCGATTTCTACTTCAGAAAGACATGACTCGTAGAAGAATATCTAAGCATTTGATCGGGGATATGTGGGTTAAAAAGGAAATGTGAAAAACAACAATAAGTAAAAGCGGCACACATGGAGCTTAAAGGGACAAGCTTAGGTTCGTGCTGTAGGCATCCCAAGTTCGAATTCAAACAATGTTGGCTGGAAAAAGAAGTTTGACCGGCCACAACTGTTGTTGTGATTTTTTCACGATTCCAAAAAATATATGGTCTGAAACAGTTCCATAAAAAATCCCGGGGGATGTGGCATTAAAAAGAATACAAGAAATGGAATGTTAATAACAATTCTCTATATTAAAAGTAAATATTTTACTCAAAAATTTTACTATCTATTAGAAATACATTTGGAAAATAAATTCTAAAAATTTTCATGTCTACAGCAGCGCACATAACATGATGGTTTGAAGAGTGTTTCGGTCTAGTTAGTTGGTATACTAGATTTTGGACGAAGGAAAACAAACTGTAATGGAAGTAAATAAAAAATTTCATACCGTTAACTCAAAGACCCATGTAAAACTTCATGTAGATCGTGTAAATAGCTGTCGGGTCAACGAACGATTTGAAAAGACACAGTTTCGAAAAATATGCTTTCAAAGTTTAAAACGCAGAATCTTGCTGACTTTGAGCGTGCTCCTTCCCAAGGTTTCATCTACGGAAATATCATACGAATCGGAATCCAGAACCCTGATATTTTTTAGCTCTCAGTTTTCAAATATTTCAACCAATTTTGACTAGCTAATGTACTTTTATATAGTGACGATCCTTTCTCGGGACCACTCAATCATGCCAATCAGCCGCATACCCCTTTACATTGTCTTTGAACATTTTATTTAAAAAAACATCTCCCTTGAATGTTTTATAGTATTAAAGGTATATTTCTCTACAAATAAGAAATCTTTACAATGGGATCTCCGGAAAAAACAAGTTTCTATTTTGGCATTATCCTGTCTGCGTCTTTAGAGCACCTGAAGTAAAAATCACGAAAAAGGCGCCAAATTTTTGGATAAGGTGACCCACTGTTGAAATCAGAAAATTAATTACATAAAATTGCGCCGGATTGAAAAAAAGTAAAAAAATTAGCTTAAAAAATATGACGGGAAACCATGCCAAATTTACAAATTTTAATGCGACGGAAATATCTGCAAGTCAGTTTGTTTTATGTCCGATATAATACTGAATACCATAAAAATATTTCAAGTCGATCGGAGATCAGTTTTTGAGTTACAATGACAGCAAATTTCGAAAATGTTGTTTCGAGAAAAACGCATTTGAAAAACGGGAATCTTAAACTTTCATGGCTGATCCCACGCGTTTTAGGATTAACCCGAAACTATTACAGTTACGCATTTGATGTTGTAGTATGCTTTCTTCAAAGCTATAGGCTGCCGAAGAACGTCAAACAATCGATTTTTAAGCTGCGAAGTATTTAATTCAGTGTCGTTAAAACTGAGTTAGCGGCAAAACTCGTAAATTAGTTCGGCAAATCCTAACGATAGAAGAAATGAGTTGCACTCCTAGGAGGCAAACGGAGTAAGAATTCTTACAATTGATGGATATCCACCAGGTTGGCTGCCAATATAGGAGAAAAATAATAAAAAGAAGTTGCTTAGGTATAAAACATACGAATTTTTATTTATTTACGTTTTATATCAGTTATTTGTTTTTATGTCTATATACTTAAATANGCAGAATCTTGCTGACTTTGAGCGTGCTCCTTCCCAAGGTTTCATCTACGGAAATATCATACGAATCGGAATCCAACATCCTTTAGAATTTTTTTGTTAAATGATCCGCGACACTCTTTTACAAAATATATATACAGGGTGCGCTATCCACGCACTTGGTATTTCAACATTGAAGAACCCTGATATTTTTTAGCTCTCAGTTTTCAAATATTTCAACCAAATTTGACTAGATGATGTACTTTTATATAGTAACGATCCTTTCTCGGGACCACTCAATCATGCCAATCAGCCGCATACCCCTTTACATTGTTTTTGAACATTTTATTTAAAAAACATCTCCCTTGAATGTTTTATAGTATTAAAGGTATATTTCTCTACAAATAAGAAATCTTTACAATCGGATCTCGGATCGGATCGGAAAAACAAGTTACTATTTTGGCATTATCCTGTCTGCGTCTTTAAAGCACCTGAAGTAAAAATCACGAAAAAGGCGCCAAATTTTTGGATAAGGTGACCCACTGTTGAAATAAAATTGCGCCGGATTGAAAAAAAGTAAAAAATTAGCTTAAACAATATGACGGGAAACCATGCCAAATTTACAAATTTTAATGCGACGGAAATATCTGCAAGTCAGTTTGTTTTATGCCCGATATAATACTGAATACCATAAAAATATTTCAAGTCGATCGGAGATCAGTTTTTGAGTTACAATGACAGCAAATTTCGAAAATGTTGTTTCGAGAAAAACGCATTTGAAAAACGGGAATCTTAAACTTTCATGGCTGATCCCACGCGTTTTAGGATTAACCCGAAACTATAACAGTTACGCATTTAATGTTGAAGTATGCTTTCTTCAAAGCTATAGGCTGTCGAAGAACGTCAAACAATCGATTTTTAAGCTGCGAAGTATTTAATTCAGTGTCGTTAAAACTGAGTTATCGGCAAAACTCGTAAGTTAGTTCGCCAAATCCTAACGATAAAAGAAATGACTTGCACTCCTAGGAGGCAAACGGAGTAAGAATTCTTACAATTGATGGATATCCACCAGGTTGGCTGCCAGTATAAGAGAAAAATAATAAAAAGAAGTTGCTTAGGTATAAAACATACGAATTTTTATTTATTTACGTTTTATATCAGTTATTTGTTTTTATGTCTATATACTTAAATACTAATAAATGCAAGAATACAGTGCGGAAGAAAAACAATCTTATTCGACACCTACGTGCTGCAGTAAACTAAATATAGAATCAAAAAATCAGGCTTAAAGTGAGTTTGCGCCTGAGGAAGCCCTGCAATAGCTTTCTGTCCATCTTCCACTTCCACTCCTTCAAGTGCAGTTGACAGTATCGCAGTCCTTGTCAAGCTCCTCAAAACCCGTTGCACTGAATTATTCTGCCTTGACTTGACACGACGTATTGTTACCTCCCGCTCGTGTCCTTCTCTGGCATAATTACTGACTGCTCTGCACCAGGTGATCCTCACAGCTTACCTCAGTTTCAACTGCTGTCTAATAAGAATGTACATCTCGCTTGCCTTCATCATAGGAGTGTTGGCGTGTGTTTCGAGCAACCCTCGTTTAGGACTCCATTGTTTCAAACTGTAAAATAAAAAAAAAAAATATTTTGAAATTAATTATAATAAATGGTTTATAAAAATTTGAAATTGTTGGTTTGAACGGCAAGTAGGCAAAGACATCTCTGATAGCTTGCAGTTTCTGCGGAAAATGTCAACCAAGCCCGCGCATCAAAAATCTGAAAGAAGAAAAAAAACATTTTGTTCAGACTGAGATGGACAAATCACAGTCTCTCTATTAGAGGAAAAGTGAGGAAATTCCTGACCATAAATGGTGTTCTGCAAATATTCATTCGTAGTTCTTCATGAATTCTGTGAACCTGCTGCCTTGCACAATCCGCCAATGTTGGGTTTTCGCTATCAGCGACACGTAGAAATAAATGTTTCCGTAATTCATGCAAATAATCTAATCGCGCTCGTTTTATTAGTCCTTCGTCACCAATTATTCGAAGGCAACAGGCATGGAAACGCTCGGCAATACCCTTGAATTCGCTACTGTGTTGCTGAGTAGTCATGAATCTATTACGCAGACGCCAAAAGTTCGAAGTTAAAACTTGGANTTTTGCTAAACCGCAGTTGCATGCACATTGTTTCTATATCTAATTAGGAATACATACATACATAAAAAAGGGTCAATGAATTTATGGATAATTTTATTACATTGACCTGCAATACAGAAAATAAAATGAATTAAAAAAAGGATATAAAATAAACAAATAAAAGAAAATAATAAAATTATTTAAAAATTAAAAAAAAATGTAAAACCAAAAAAAATAAATTAAAATAAAAACATAAATAAATAAATATATTTATAAATATAAAATAAAATAATAAAATAAAATTACTTACTTATTATGTATCTACAACAACAAAAAGGCTCGTTTTGTTCAATACAATGCTTCTTCTTCTTCGTCATGGTCGTAACGCGTTAGTCTCATGAGACCAAGACTATCTTAAGTTAAGTCGTCAGGTAGAGCCGAATATGTGTAAATGAATATAAATACTGCAATAGCAATCTTTCCTTGACTTATTTTAATTTATTTTATTTGTATTTGTTTTGCTTTCCATTAATTTTAACTAATAAATTTAAATTATATAAACCTAAGTGCAGGTAAAAACAGAACAGGCGTGGCGCTTATAAAACAGAAATAAAATAAAAGGCCTCATTTTTTCATATAAATTTATACAAGCGCAAAATTAGGATTTAAAGAAAATAAATGAATCAAAATTAATAATACCTTACCAAATTTGAAAAAATAAAGTAAAATAAAACTTAGCTGAATAAAATAAAGTAAAACAAAATAACGAACAATAAAATGAAATAAAGTAAACTAAAATGAAATATAATGAGATAAATAAAACATAAATTAAAATAAAATTATTTATTTATTATATATCTACAGCAACAAAAGGGCTCATCATTACTCCCCGTTTGGCCCGATTTGTTCAATGCTTCTTCTTTTTGGTCATGGTCATAACGCATTATGCTGCAATTACCCATCTTACCTAACTTCCGCCCATAGCAACCTTTCTTATGAGAGCGCCATGTGAACGCATTGTTGAGCTGGCTAAAGGAGTACCCTTTCAGAACGGGTTACTGCTCATTATTAGTTCGGGAATGTGTAGTATGCACATGCAATGCCTTTCAACCGCAACAGCTGGGCATATCACCGTACGGAAGATCAGGAGTTACAGTCCTAGTCACCGGGCCCTCGACAGGAAAAGCTGTAAATATCCATAAGCCATAAGATATTGCTTATAATAACCTGTAGATGCCTTTATTTGTTGGAAAATCATGAAACGGTGCAAGAGCTCAGTGCAGAAGCTTGGCTCAAAATCGCTTTGGCGCTTATAAAAGAATTTGGCCTTAACGACTGACTGATCAAACCACAACCGTAGAGGCCTGACGCTTGTAGAGTGTATTCTGCGTGTGACATATGCGCCCGATAGGATAAGATTTTCCGGGGAGTGGTCATGGAAGCGATCTAATCGAAAAATTTGTATTTTAATTTTGATTTTGATAAAAAAATTTAAATTTTCATAATATAATGCACCTTATAACTCTCGGCGGAGAATGTTTTTCTCTCCGAGTGTATTTCTGACTGAAAATAAATCTCCTCATAAAAACCATCAGCCGTTCGGAGGCGGCTTAGTATAAATTGTAGGTTCCTTCATTTGTTGGAAAAACATCAAGACGCAAAACCACAAATTGGAGGTGAAGCTTAGCCGAAAATCGCTTCAGTGATTACAAAGCGCCAATCATACATATATATATATATAGATTATATCGACGTTT